GGATGATCGATCGATCGTTTGACAAACTTGCTCAGACAATCCTTCTCTTTTGTTTTTTTTGCTTGTGCACTGCCATGATACTCGCAACAGGCACCTGAAAGATCTGGAAACAGAACGCGACGTGTCAGTGAAATGAGCGAGCATTGGCAGAGAAAAGTCGACAGCTGCAAAAGCTGCAAGCACTCTACGATGCATTGCGTCGTAAGACAGACACGGCAAACAACATGCACGCGCATGCACATCATGCGCCCGAGCTGTCTGGGCCCGTTGGGCGCGCTTCGTTTCCCGTATGCTGTGAAATTGAGAAGAAGTGATGTTGCCAATTTGACTTTGGCGTTTTCAACTCAACTCAACGTCGCTTCTCTGCTGTTGGACTATTGTTGGACGCGCATCTTGATGCAACAGCCCCTGCTACCAGCCATGATGCTTTTGCAGCCTGGTCGTGCCCAGCCAGTCGCACCGACTGCACATCGCCCATTGCCTCCGCCTCGACCACGCAGCTCACCACCTCCAACAGCGAGAACCACTGCCACGGCAGCCGGGCGTGCTCTTCCTGTACATGCCACGGCGACAGACACCTTTGCTGCCACGCCAGCTGGATCAGCGAGCATGTCGCAAACGAATCATCGCAGCAACAGCAGCAGTTCTGCAGTGCAACCCGGCAGCTCCTCCGCCTTACTCGCCGCCACGCCACTCGCGCCAATGGCAAATCAACAACCGCCACTACTGCAGGCCAATCTCCCGCAGCGCCCACCTCCAGGGAATGCGCGACGCTTGTTTGGTCCAGAGTTGGCATCCGCATTCGCCGCTCGCCAGCCGCTTCAGCAGAGGCAGCAGCTACAGCAGCAGCAGCAGCTACAGCAGCAGCAGCTACAGCAGCAGCAGCAGCAGGCGGCCACCGCTGAAAGCCAACAGCAGCCGCTAGTGTCCAAGCGAAGCCACACTCAGGCCTTCGAGACGCCGCGCATCGACCTTCCTGCAGCCGAGTCAGCAACAGGCGATCGCGCTCATGCTCCTCGATGAACAACTTTTGTCCCCCTTCCGAAAGTGCATTCCCCTGTGTAGCCACAAGAGTAAACCAGTATCACCAGAGCATAAGTTCGGCAATATTTGTTTCCCATCTTGCTTTGAGCACTTGAACCCGAATCTGCAAAACAGTCAGTCGTCAAAGTATTCGCTTGCTTCCAATGTTCGAGTGAGTTTCAGTGTTGATGAGTTTCAGTGAGTCGAGTGAGTTCAGTGAGTCGAGTGTCACACTCGCTCAATCGTGAATGAATGAATTGCTGGTCAGTCACGAGTGAACCAAAAAAAAAAAAAAAAAAATGAAGGAAAAATCGCATTCACAGGAAAAGAATGAATGGGGAAAATATTGGAAGGAAGAGGAAAAGAGAGAGAGAAAGAGAGAAGAAGGATCGATGGAAAGAAAGCAAAGCAAAGCATAAAGTGAAGAATCGAAAGGCAGGCGAAAAAGCGAAAGGAAAAAAGCAAAGAAACGGCAAGAAAGAAATTAAAAAAAAAAAAAGAAAAAAAAAAAAGAGATCTCATGACTGGCAAAGATTGACGCCAGCATCGCTCACCGAACGAAGGCAAAGAAGTGCGAGGAAGGGGAGAGTGCATCGAGTGAGAGAGAGAGAGCGAGAGTGATAGTGACAGTGAGAGTGAGGAGAGCAGCTGGCGGGCGAAGAGCAAGAA